GCGACGGTTACACCCGGTAATCTCGGGACCGACGGTTACACCCGGTAATCTCGGGACCGACGGTTACACCCGGTAATCACGCCGCTAACAGCTGCTCACCTCGGACCCACCGAGCTTCTTGGTAGATCGAACCTTGACCAGGTCGCACCTCGGCCCTTATACTTAGCACCTATCAACGCTGGTGGTGGCAATCTTGGCAGTCCGAGTTGGGCATGACTCATGAGTCATCCTAAGTACTAATAGCTGTCCTCCACGTGTCTAGGGTATTTCAGCCCCCAAACAAATATCATATCAAGTTGTTACAATCTCAGGATTCCTGTTACTCGTAACGACATCTAGTAAAGTTTAATCGAAACATACAAATGATGAGAATAAATTTTTTAAAATATTAAGATATTGTTTGATAACTATTTTGTTTTTAGTTTTCTATTCTACTATTTGTAATTATGTATTCTTTTTTATGTTATCAATTTTTTAAAAGCGTTTTCGAAATCGAAGTCAAATTTTGAAAACAAGTAATGATCTCCAAAAACTTGTTTTTGTTTTTAAAGGTATTACAAAGAAATGTTAAAATCATACCCAAAAAAAATGAGAAAACAAGGAATAATTTTAGAAACAGAAAACTAAAAATAAAATCAGAACATTGATAATTAAATCTAATAAACTCATTTTACTTAAATTGAGGTGAATGTAGAAATATGAGGAGGGAGTTGATTAGGGCATTATTATTCATTCAACTCATAAAAAAATGGAAAATAAAAAGTGATATGGATGAGTGGAGCACCAAGAGGAAAATAATAATAAGAAGAAATATGGATATCTAATCACCTCCCAATGGGTGTTGACGTTGCCCTGTCTTTCCCAAAACACAAATTAAAGGATTTGAGAGGCCGACCAATTATACAACAATTTGCACTCAAATTACAACCTACATCCATCTGATCATCACACACTCATTTGGTTTTTGCACCCAAAAATTTTGGATAGGCTGACGTTAGTCACCTACTCAACTTGTGACTGCCCGTAAATTAACGAACAACGAGTCTCGTCAAGGTAAAATTTGTGGTTGACTAACATATATTCATTGTAGTTTATTAAGGATCCCGCAGGTATATTGATATAGTATCAGAGCCTAAAAAACTCAAATGAACATTCAGTCAAAAAATAGGATCCAGCCAAGATTGATGAGCCAAAAAAGCCACGATCTCGAAGGATCATGTCAAGGATCCCACATTGAAAATATAAAACAACCTAGCTAATATAATATACACGAGCTACTACTCTCATTATGAATTAGTTTTAAGATGGAACACATAAATATTAATATAGTTTATGTGTGTATTCTAACCGCGCGCCTACATCATCTCTAAACCGTAATGGTTATGTTAGTTAAATCGGAATTATTTACCAAAGGTTATGTTTTCCTAATGTGAGGGAGAGTGTACTATTAACTCTCTCGACTTTGCGAAAGTGAATATAGAAAATCTATTATTTTCTTTTTCTAGAACTTCTGAAACTTGTCTGTTCAAAAAATTACAGTAAAAAATCTACTACCGTGGATGTAGACTACAGTGGAACCACTAATAATTCTGTGTTTTTGTTTTTCTCTCTCAAACATCCTAATTGCTAATTGCTTGATTGGTCCTCAGTTAATTTTGTAACGGTAATAGCTTGATATTGTCCGCTCTAAATTTGAAATGGTATGAATTGGATTTTAAATTCTACATTGGAAGTCCTGAACAAAGATGATATTTTATTATACGGGATCAAAAAATTAATGGATCTGTTTTGTTCAAGATGGAATCGACTAGGATTATTAATTTATAATCTGCCGTAGCTGACCTTCAAAATTATGAGAATATCGAATTTATCCAAAATGTGTTAGATAGTAGATATTATGTCGATAAATAGAGACTAGATTCTATATATCTAAGAATTTAGTTTTGGAACTATATTTGCATCATAATATCCTCCCTAGGAATGAGAATATGTGGAAGTGAGAGAACGGGGTTCCATCTCAAAACCAACATGCTCCTGTGGTTCTTTTAACTCATCGATTTTGGTTGGATCCCATTTTTGGACTGATTGCTCGTTTGAGCGTTTTGAACTCTGATACCATATCAATATTCATGAGGTTCCATCTCAAAACCAATTTAAACTATTGTAAGTTCCTTCTGGGATCCTTAACAATAAGAACAAACCATGTTGTAATTCTCTGAGGTAGCAATCCATGAATGTGTTGGGAACAATCATTAGAGTTTTTTTTTTTTTTAGTACTCTCCAGGTTGGTTTTTTGGTTTTTTCTGGACAGGATGTTGTGTAAGATTCCACTATAAGAGCATACGTTGGCTTCAACTCAGGGTTTTTGATGTCTGTAAGATCATTCTCATGGGGCCTCGTGATATCCTTTGGCTGCCTCATCTGTTTCGCTATAAACATTTTCAAACATAAAACCGTACGTTTTCGTTTTTGTCAAGGATTATTCCTGACTGAGTTTTGAAATGTGAGATTGAGTAGTTTATGTGTTTGGATTGTATAATAGAATTTATTATAGAAATTTGGGTGCTTTTGGGTTATAATTTGCAAAGTTAATTCATAATATCAAAAAAGGAATTTCATAATTAAGAATGAATTTCTAGGAGTCTACGTAAAAAAAAAAAAGATATCTATAAGTCAAGTTTATATAGCCCTTAGTTTCTCTGCCGAATTGGAGTACAAATCTTGGTCCGAGCGAACATATGCCAGACGTGAATATCATTATGACACGCATTGGGTTTCAATATTCCGTATGATTCAAAATGATTCTATCATTTATGTATCTACAATTTAACCCATGAAATCAAAGAACTTGTAGTTGAAAATAAAAATCTAGATATACTAAAATATAATTTTCACTTCTTAGTCGATGGTAAATTACACAAATTAACACGTAATTTGAAATACCACTCTAAACTGTCACCAAAAGATGGTATTTTAGAAATTATTTCAAACTTGCAAGGAAAAACTTTATTGTTATAATATATTGAAATCATAATTCGAATAGTTATCCATTCTTAGACGTTGTGTTTTCTACGTCCTATTGGCTTG